CSGAAAATTAGCCAATCATATATATTGTATCCCCGAGCTCCTCCAACTGGGGCAAAGTGTAGGGCTGCATTAGTAGGCAGACTACCCACCCAGGTATAGCTAGCTAGTCAGGTTCCAGTAGCACACCCTCCTGGCAGAAATAAAGTTTGCTTTGCCCACCCACTTTTAAGCACTTGTCTGATTTCTTTTGGCACCTAGGTATTTCTAACAATTATCAAACGAGTATGCTGGTATATCTCTATGAAGTTGGATGTATATGTGTAATGTGTGTCACTGTTTGTGTTTTCAGGGGGCCCTGTTGCTGGATGACCAGAAGATCATAAGGGATGCTTACATCTTCTTTCTCCCCTCCCTTTTCTTCCCAAGGCTACTTAAGTACTCTGGGCCTGTCCCCATATAAGGTCCTGTCTGGGGAAGTTGTTCAGTATTGTTGCTCCCCCACCTCCCCTGACCCCCCTCTTTCTGAGCATTTTTAGAACTGGTGGTTTCCTCCAGCTGTCAGCTGGTTACTCTTGCTGCCAATGACTTTGGCTCCTCCCCAGCAACAGTCAGTGGGGAAGGTATTCAATTGGCTCAGAAGCATCCTCGTAGCCAATGAAATGTTAAGACACTGAAATCAATTTTCTTGCCCCTTCCTCCCCCACAAACCCTGACCAATGAGATTCTGGTTTTGTCACTTAACTGTCAATCTGGTATTTTAAAAAACAAAATACTGTAATGCTGAATGAAGATGAAAGAAGTGGAACTAGAGATGGAGTAGAAGTATAAATGCCCATTCCCCAGACCCCTCTGGAAAGTCTGGCTCTCTCACATCCACCACAAAAATAGTAGTTGGACAAATTCCCAAATTTCCTCACTTGTAACCACAGAAGCTGAGAATCTTGGGGGCAGGAGGAGTTTAAAGAAATTGAACCAACTCAGTTCTTGCTTCAATCTCCTTCTCTGCCTCAGACTCTCATGTGTAACACTTGGCACCTCATAACAGGGTTGTCCAAACTCTGCTTGAACTTCTCTAGGGACAGGGCACATACTTCCTTGTCAGTCACTGCCTCTTTTTCCAGCTCATTATGCCCTCTTTTCACTTTTAAGACCATACACTTGAAAAGTTCCAATGCCTTCTTTCTTCCTGTTATTCCTGTTTTTGCTCCTTCCTATATACCACACCTTAGCTAGCTCAGACCCATGAAGGCACTGAGTAGAGCCTGGAGAGACAGAGCCCATCCTGGCACTTCCAGGGAGGGGTATGCCCCACACCCCTATCAACAATTTATTAGCCCCCTGACTTCAGGATATCAGGTGGACCCTATAACCTGGGTCTGGGGGGATAGTATGGAGAAGGTCATTCCAGAATGGGGTCAGGCCTTGCCTGAGATTAAGGGAGGGAACACCCTTCACTTCTCTTTGAAAAGCTAGTTCTCTCTGTTCCTGTTTCACTCTATGCTCCCAACCACCTACTCACATAATTATAGAAGTAAACTCCCAAGTTAGAGTTCAGTCCCTTCTGGAAAACTTTTTTTTTTTTTTTTTTTTGGCAGTTATTGGGGATTGAACCCAGAGGCAGTCTGCCAAAGAGCTGCATCCCCAGATCTCCCCACTTTATTTTTCAAATTTTATTTTAAGACAGGGACTCACTAAATTGCCCAGGCTGGCCTTGAATTTGCAATCCTGTCTCAGCCTCTGAGTCACTGGGATTACAGGTGTGCACCACCACCCCTAGCTGGAAAATATTTCTGTATGCCAGTAAGAACCCTACCCATTGAGCAGAGGGTTTCTTTTATTTTATAGTACTGGCAATTGAACCCAGGGGTACTCTACCACTGAGTTACATTGGCAGAAGTTTTCTTAAAATAACATATATGAAAGTGATTTACAAAGTTTGAATTGCAAAGAGCATTAAAGAAAGGTGAGCCAGGTGCAATTGGTGCACACCAATAATCCCAGTAATTTAGGAAGCTGAGGCAGGAAGATCACAATTTCAAGACCAGGCTCAGCAATTTAGCCACACCCTCTCAAAAAATAAAAAGGGGTAGGGTCATAGGTCAGTAATAAAGAGCTTTGCCTGTAGGCTATTTAGTTTACTACCCACTATGATCTCGTGTGTGTGTGTGTGTGTGTGAGAGAGAGAGAGAGAGAGAGAGGGAGGGAGGGAGGGGGGAGGGGGAAAGAGAGAGAAAATCCGCCATCTATCCGAGCTGGTGACCTATGCTGGGTTCACAAAATCTGACTATTCCAATAACTTAAGAAAATGGTAAAGAAAGCACGCAAACACACAGAAGTACCTTTTCAAAATCCGGGGACGGCTCTGTGACCCTAGGGGTTTGTAGAAAGAGAGCCACTGGAATTCCTTATTCTTATATAGAGGACACACAAGGGGATGTTCCATGGAACATTCTAAACCAAAAAGGGCAAAGGGGTAGGAACCGGTGGGTGTAATTCAACCCCATTGGGTGTCGCCCATTCCTAGAGCCACACCTTCCTTGTCCAAGCAGAGGTAAAGCTCAATGTATTGCGGGGTGCAAAAACTGTTCAGTACCCCTTTACTCAGGACTTAAAGGTGTGCACATAGCTTCTGTCCAGTGTGGCTCCCAACAAGAAAGAGAAAGAAAGCCCTTCTCCTCAGGCTCACCCTTCATACCCCTATAGCCCATGAAGTCCAAAGCTCAGTCTTTGCACGGTTTATTTTGTCCTTATCTTATAGTCCCTTGTTTGGACCCATTTGTTTCTCTTGTGGAAGTCTAACACCCGACCTTCTCCCCAGGATGCAATGTGGGCTCCTTTAGTACACAGTCATATATTGTTCACGCTGTACTTCACATCCATTTACCACAGGGCTCTGCTCAGTGTACCGTGAGCTCAAAGTATGAAGGTCCGTGAACATATTATTGGTGATCCAATTTTGTTAGCTAGATGAAACAATTGAAGATCTCTCTGATCTTGAGCTATCCTGTTCCTACCTCCTCATGCTTGACTGGTACCAGAGGAAGCACCAGGGCATTCAAGCACAGTAGTGTGACATTTTGCTGGAGAGAAAAATGTGGGTGGCCATTTTCCCATGGCTGCGGTGGGAGCAGACACTGTGCTGGATGGTACAAAGCACAGGGCATTGTGTAAGGCTCTGCCTAGTACTGAAGTTGATTAGCAAAGCCCAGCACCAGTGAGCATAGCACACACAACTTCTACAACCTCCATGACCGGCCTCAATCCCATAGTCCCAGCTCTGTATCCCAAGCCATGTTTGGCAGCCCAGCAAGGGCTATTGTGGCAGAGTGATGTGTCTTTGGTTCCCTCATTCTCCCTCCCCTCTCACCTCAGGGTATTCTTAACCAATAATTCTTCCCTTTCCTTCACATTCAATCCTTTCCCTGATCCTTAGCTTCTAACACTCAACACTGCAAATTTTTACAGGGCCCACTTGCTACCCTTGTTCATCCCTGTCCCATGCATGATATGCACAGGACTACCCAGGTTCTTTCTCAAGCAAAATTGCCTGCTTAGGCAGTAAAGTAGGGCTGCTCTTGCTCCCTCCTGCTATGCAAATACTCTGCCACCACTGAACACCTGGCACCCCTCACCTCAAATCCCTTTTCACGCTATTCTTTTTGCCTTGGTGCCTACCCCTACTGCATTATTATTTTCATACTGAAGATTGAACCTAGGGGCACTTTTCCACTGAGCTATATTCCCAGCCCTTTTTATTTTTTGTATTGAGAAAAGGTCTTGCTAGGTTGCTTGCAATCCTCCTGCCTCAGCCTTCCAAATCACTGGGATTACAGACTTGTACCACCACACCTGACTCCTACCCAATTATTTTTGTTCCTCATACTGACTTCCATTATTTTGGGAGGGAGTGGGAGTACTGGGGAATTAACACAGGAGTATGTTACCACTGAGCTATATCCCCCAGTCCTTTTTATTTTTTGTGACAAAAAAATTGGTTGAACACATTTGGTTAAAGTCTCACTAGAYTGCTGAAGCTGGTCTCAAATTCATGATCCTCCTGCCTCAGCCTCGTGAGTTTCTGTGATTACAGGCATACACCACTGTGCCTGGCCTGAATTCTCTTCTAACTTCACATCTTCAAAGAAGACTGCTGGGTTTATATTATTTGATTCTGGGGACCCAGTCTCACTGAGTAGTCATGAGGGTAACTTCTCACATTGCTGTAGCCTTTACTATTTGAAAATATTTAAACATTTGCTCCTGGAACAAGTATTATCTGGGAACAAGTATTATTAGTTCCATTCCATATATGAGTAATCTAAAGTTCTGTATCAGTGACTTATCCAACACCATCCAGTTAATAAGGTGCTAAACTCTAGCTCAAATTCAGATCCATCAGCTCCTGCTTCAGGACTCTCTCTATTAAAAGAGTCCTCCCTGACTTGACCCCCTCAACTATTATTGCTACTATTAAACACTTGTTTTGTGTTGATGTAGTTAGTTGATCTTATTTTTGCACCTTCATGTTCTCATTGCCAAATGCTTTTGTGTGTGTGTATGTGGTACTGGGAGATTGAACCCAGGACCTGGGGCATACAGACAAGTGCTCTACCACACATGCACTTGCCAAGTGTTTCCTGTGAATGAGGCACCACAGGAGTAGGGACAGAATGTCTTTTCTCTGATAGTCCCTTGGAATCCAGGATTGGATTCTGCCAACCAAAGGAACTATGCTTGCGGGTGAGGGTAGCCACCATTGATGCAGATCTTTGCCACCTTTAAGCACACTGCAGACCTTGTAGAGGGTGGATGTGAACAGAAAGGTGATAATAACTAACAGCAGCTGCCATTTGTTGAGCACTTACCAAGTGCTAGGCATTATGCTAGTTATTTATTTACATTATTTAATCCTTACTACACACATTTCTAAGGGAGGTATTATTACTGGCAAATGAATAAAACTAATGTTTAGAGACATGGAGCCAAGGCACAACCCACATCTGTCTGACTCCAAAAGGAGTACATAAATAGCAGAATTCAATTTATATTTTAGAAACTTAATAAACCCTCACTCCTTAAAAGTCCAACCTACTCTTGATTCTTCCTTTCCCAGCAAATAAAATTCAGGGAGAGGAAAGCAAGGCAGGTTATACCTCAATGTAAATACACAGACTTACACACACACACACACACACACACACACACACACACACACACAAAACACACAAACAATCATTCATGCTTATCACTGCCACCCTCAAGTTCCTAGCCAGGGTGAGGGCTATGAGGGGTGGGGGTCAATTTCCCCAGGACCAGAGTCCTCCCCTTCCCTGGTGCTAAATAAAAGTGAATAAATACTAAATAAATACAACTTGGGCCCAGGGCCCATCCTGCCTTCCCCCTCCCTCCCATGACCTGCAGGGCTGAGGGAGCAGTTTGGATAGGGGACTATCTCCTAGTCCCTTCCATCCACCAATTCATCACTGCCTCCCAGGGCAGGAAACCAGGGCAGGGCCAGCCTGCACATTAGGGCAGAGAGGAGAAGCAGGTTCACCCCCATAGCCCCTTCCCACTGTGTCTTAGCAAGAGGCAGCTGCAGAAGCCCCCTCATTCTTCCAGCTGAGTCTGAGGCCCCGGTGCCCAGAGTGGGCAGCCGGGATGGTGAGGTTATTTCCTGCCTGCCCAGGAGCGCCGCCGAAGGATCTCCAGAATCTGTGCCCGGCGATGTAGCCAGTCCTGGGGAGGGGGGCGCGGTGTTGAAGGGGCTGGCCGGGGCACGAAGAAGCTGTATCGGAGGCGTGCATTCTGTGGGTTGCCAGCCACCAGAACTTGCAGCATCAAGGGCTGGGTCAGTGGCCCATGGCCTGACAGTGTCTCTGAGGCTGCAGTGGCCCCACTGTATCGCAAGCTGACTGCGCCAGGCAATACCACATCTGTGGGGGAGGGCATCAGTGTGTATTCACCATTGAGGGCATAGGAGCCATCTGGATGCTTCAGGGCCAGGTAGATGCTCCGAGGGCCAGGGGCTCCCTGATGCCGGACAAGGATATGGGTGGCCCCTGCAGGGATAGTGACCACATTGTTGTATCCGTACCTGTGTGGAGAAAAGAGATAGAGAACTCAGCATTTTCTAAATTTTCTCAGTCTTCTGGGGTGTGTTTGTCTGATTGTATGTGAGTAGAGGGTCATCTCCTCAAACCTACATGAACTGTCGCAGATCAGATCTACATGCAAATGTTCCCTCCTAACCATGTACCTGGTCAGGAACACCCACTACTCTCTCTCTTTTTTTTTTTTTTCGGGGGGGATAGATTGAATCCAGGGATGCTCTACTATTGAACTATATCCTTTTTAGTTTTTATTTTGAGGCATGGGCTTGCTAAATTGCTGAGGCTCGCCTTAAACTTGCCATGTCCCTGCCTCAGCTCCCCAAGTAGATGGATTACAGGTAGATGCCACCACATCCAGCTATACCCACTATTCTCTTATTCAGGTGCCTCCTAGTGCCCCCATACACACTTTTTGATGCCTGTCCAGTTCCTACTCTCCAGCCTAGGCTCAGTTTATAGTCACTCCCAAGGAAGTCATCCTTGATGCCCATAAGGGCTCTCACAGCACCCTGTGCCACTCTCTGTGGAACATGTGAGTCATGGCATCATAACTGCCTACTCATCGGTCTCCCCACTAGACTGCAGAAACAGTGTTGAGTTCACTTCTGTATCCCCAGAACAGCATCCATAAAGGTAGAGGGCAAAAAACAAATGGTGAAGGAACCTGAATTTTCTGAAAGAGCCTGACAGCTTGCTGCAGCTGGAACCATCCCCACCGCACACCATGCACTTGTCAAACTTCTTTTTGGAACCAATGATGCGGTCACAGCCAGCGTGGATGCAGCGCCCCTGGACACAGACTGAGGAGCTATCTGGGGAACAAGGGGTTCCGTCTACCACCTGAAGAAAAAAGAAGAAAAAAGATAATGGTCTCTTCCTAAATGAGAAGAGGTTGATAAGCCAAATACAACTCAGGTCCCAACAGGAAAGAGGTGTCAGAAAAGCTGAGAGAGGTAGGGGATGTGAATGGTATGTAGGATGAGTCCCAGCCACTGTACGGGATGATAATCATAACAACTGATATAAAAGCCACCACTTTCAGAGCTCTGACTATGAGTCAGGCAGTGTGCTAAATTAAATGCTCTACAAGCATGAACACAAGCAGGGCTCAGTGGTGCACACTTGGAATCCCAGCAACTCGGGCAGCTGAGGCAGGGAGGATCACGAGTTCAAGGCCAGCCTGGGAAACTCAATGAAACCCTGTCTCAAAATAAATAATAAAAATTACTAGAGATGTAGCTCAGTGGAAGAGCACACCTGGGTTTCATCCCCAGTACTACAAAAGTTTCAAAAAGAAAGAAAAAAAAAATATATATATATATATATATAAATCTCAAATCAAATTTCACAACTGTTATTTGAGGTTTTTAGATATGGAACATTAAGGTTTATAAAGAGCAAAGAACTTGCTTAAAATTTACGGATATGGCAAGCAAAGGAACCAAGACTCCCAATTTTTGGTCCTTCAGAGACCCACTCACAACTCATGAATCTGATGGTACTGTCTTCATATGGACACTAGAGGGCAGCCAAACCACAGAAATTCTCCACAGATTGGGCAAAGAGAGGGAGGCAAGTACTACTAGGGTTTGTTTTCTCTTCCACTTTCAACCCATTGATCGCCCTATTACACTGAGGGAGTGCAGGAACATCTGGCACTTCCAGAAGCCTGTCCATTGAAGGACTGGCTTCCATTAGTCTAATGAAGCCACCACTGTAATTTGACAGAGGAACCCATAGAAAGGAGGGTTGAGGAGTTGCCCCAAAGGTCCCACACTTCCATTCTCACCAAATGCAGAAAGACAGAGAGAGGGAAAGAAGCAGGGAAATGGGGACCGCCTAGAGCAGCCATCTGCAAACTGTTTTCTCAATACCCTTGGACAGATAAGTCTGAGTAGACCCATGGGCTGGCATGGTGTGGCTATGCCAGTGATGGGGCAATTTTGGAAAATCTTTGCCATCAGAATGCAGAAGGATCACTGGGGAATATGTGAACATGAACAGGGCGTAGGGGTGCCTGTCCCTTACCCGTGGGTCCAGCACATAGTAGTAGCCCAGTGCCTGGGCTTGGCAGGTGAGTTTACATTGGTCCCGCGGGGCCACACCTGTGTAGCGAGGGACCCAGTCCATGGGTCCYGGGAAGCTCTTGAAGAGGTCAGTGCGGTGGTTGTAGGCAGCACACTGCTCTTCACGGAAGGTCAATGCTAAGGGGTGAAATGGACAGTCAGATCCTCTCCCTCCTCACATTATCCCCAAAACTCCTCTACCAGAACCTCCTTCCACCCCCACCCCTGTACCAGTTATTGAACCCAGGAGCTCTTAACCACTGAGCCACATCCCCAGTCTTTTTATTTTTTATTTTGAGTTAGGATCTCTCTAAGTTGCTTAGGGCCTTACTAAGTTGCTGAGACTGGCTTTGAACTCATGATCTCCCTGCCTCAGCCTCCCAAGCTGCTGGGATTGAAAGTGTGTGTCACCGTGCCTGATGGTTCCACTTAGCACTTTAAACTGCATGGCACTTCTTTTCCCCATAGACTGAGAGGGGTAGTTCCTTTATAGTGCAAAGTCACTCCCCCAAGCAGCCGGGGCAATCAACACCTCTTGGGACAGTCCTTCCTACTCTTTACCATCCTTTCCCAAGAGCTCCCATCCCTCCCATTCCTCACCTGAGCCAGTCGGGCAGTTTTCAGTGTTGCAGGAGCGGAAGCGGGTGCGGCGGCCCTCACAGTACTTGCCACCATTCCGGGGGACGGGCCTCGTGCAGTCCCGGTAAGAGAACTGGACACCACCCCCACAGCTCCGAGAGCAGTCACCCCAAGGTCCCCAGGGACCCCAACCACCAGCCTGTGGAACCTAAAGAAGAACAGAATGGAAAGATAGTTTAAGGATACTCTCTTATGGRCTGAGGGCTAGTCCCCACTCGCCCAGGTCCTTTATCCAACTCCTGCCCTAGAGTCTCACATTGAAGTCCTTGAGTTGGTCCGTATGGAGGCAGCGGCCACCCATGCAAGCCTGTGAAGGCCCACAGGGGGTGCCATCAGCCCAGGGCGAGTGCTTGGTCTGGCACATAGCGTGGCCATTGAGGTGGCCAGAGCACCAGAGGGCAGCACAGGGTGGTGGCAGCTGGGGACAATGGTGTGAGTCAGGACCGAAGGTCAGCTGGCACTGGCGATCAGCATCATAGTCCTTGCCAGGAAAAGTCACAGGCAGGTTCAGTGAAGCCTCTGGCTTGTCTAAGAGACAGTGTCCTGGAAAGGGGGTTGAGGCACAAAGTCAGCAAGGGACTGAGAAGAGAATTCAGGATTGCCAGCTGAAAGCTTATTCTCCCTGGGCTGAGGGATCCTAGGGGAAAAAAAAAAAAAATCCTGACGCTGAAAGAGGCTTTAAATTGCAGCTATGCCTGTAATCCCATTGCTGAGGTAGGAGTATCACAAATTTGAGGCCAGCCTCAGCAATTCAGGGAAGCTGTAAGCAATTTAGTGAGACCCTGTTTCAAAATAAAAAATAAAAAGCACTAGAGGGCTGGGGTTATAGCTCAGTTGGTAGAGCATTTGCCTTGCATGTGTGAGGAACTGGGTT